CTTGTTAATTGTGCTAGTAAGAAACTATTAAATAACTAATTTAGAAATATAATGGCATACATTAAGACTTTTATAATAAGTTTTATTAATCAATAATGATAATAAAGAATTTTATGATTATACTCTTTTTATTTATTGATGATATAATTTGCAATCTATTATAAACATATTATAAACATATAAGCAACACAAGAGATCACTATTATATAGTATATTGTACTAAAGTATTTTTTTTCAAATTGCCACAAAGAAGAAGTCATTCCGGATATACTTATTATTAGTAACATAATGTTGTTGAAACGAACAGTTTGAATTACAATAGTGAATAAAAGGAACGCTTGACGAATGTAATACTGTAGAAATTGGATGAACCCGATCCAAAGAATTATGTCGAATACGATATACTGGACAATCTAATAAAGATTCCTGTTCATTAAGATCTTCCAGCCAGTCGAAACAAAGAAAAATATATTCTTGATTATTATTCCATAAATGTTTGATTATACTCATTATTTTGCCAAATGTCATTTCGTTTTCTTCAAATCGTGTAACTTCAACTATTTCGCCAACTTTTAGTTTCACATTATGATAATTGTCATCCGGTTTAAGAGTTGTATATGACACGTTTTCATAAAAGTGAACTCGTGTTTCCAACAAAGCTTGCTCAAATGAGTAGTATGATGAGTATGCCTTCATTATATCCTCAAATAAACCGTTCGTTTCAATATTTGTTGATATAAATCCAGCTGCTTCTACTTGATTTCTACTCCATCTTATCCCTAGTTTTATTTCCAAACAATCGAAAAGCTCAGGATTGGTAATAGCGGTTGAATTATCTAAAAAAGTTAAATATTCGTAAGTATATAATATACAAAAAAAAGGAAAAAAAAATTTATCCCAGGTTAAAGTTATCCAACTACATAAAAATATTAGTGTTAATTATGTTAACGTGACAGTCACTATAGCATATCAGATAACTTTAACCCGGGTGAAAATAAAAGAACTATAATATTTATTTTTACCCTCAATTTGTGATTGATTGGTCGAATGGTGTATTGATAAGCTATAGTCGTTAATACACCAACCGGATAGTAAATGATGAAGTCGTGGTGCAATAATCAATGGTATAAAAATAGATCATATTGAATAATGGGGCATTTGATCATCTATTCCACCATCTACAAGATGCCTTAAAGTTTGCAATGTATTAATTTGCTGTAATAAAGTAAGTTCCAAATTATGTTTATTGGTGTGCGGAACTATTGCTTTGAATATTCGGTGTACCATTTCCTTGGTGCTAACTGCTGTATTTGTGCAAGTCGCATATTGATGTGCGTGATCTACTAAATGGCGGCTTATATGTAGATTAGGAAGATTCTGAAAATTATTTGGGAAAAGCTTATTTTAAAATAAGTTATTGTTTTTATAATTAAATTTTAAAGCAAATTATTAATTATAAATATGTACCTTAATTAAAGCATTGTGTTCATTATTCAAAATAGTTCGTAGATAAGAATATCCATTAGATCGTCGTATAGTTAAAGAAAACACTTCTTTAGCTGTCTTAGCACAAAGTACCCATGTATGAATAATATAATCACATACTTCTGATAGATGAGAAAATCGTAACCTATTACGTGTAGATTTTAAAAAATCATCCTTGATACTATTGATAGTCAAACAACGCTTTAAGATAAAAGGAAAAATCATAAGAATCCTTAAATTATCAGACATCATAAATGAATGTCAATGAGTAATTGGATTTGGTAAGCGAGACCATCTTGCTGGTGTTTCAAAGTTTTTCCAATAATTGATCAGATTATTCTCTCCGTTTAATGTTAATATTGAACAGGTACAGTTAAGCAGCCGAGCTATTTTTCCTGCAATTGCATAATATGCATCTTGTGGTATATGCAAATGACGGTCATGCAAAATCAGATCTAATGGTCCAGGTGAAAGTTGTAATCCATATTGAGAGCAAAGTCTCGATTTTGCATTTTTTGAAGTTTGTTGATTTATAAGTTAAAATTCTTGATCTGTAATCTGATGGTATCGGCCACAATAATAAATATCAAATGTAAGGTCTGTTAATTGATCTTTGGTTGCTTTACATGTTCGGCAGCCTCGATATGCATTATTGCGCAATGTTCCAGCGATGTCATTTCCCTGAGGCAAATCTGAAGTAAAAACACCTAATCCACCCATTATCCAATAATCGGTTCTATTTAAATTCATTACAAAACCTTCTTCAAGTTTTTTTATTTCCTCAAGAAAAGGCTTAATAAAGTCTTGGATTTTTCCTTCAAAAGGCACAAATCCGATAACAAAGTGGTTGCGTAGTTGTTTTCTCATTCGACGTGGCATATTACCGATTTGTAGATAAATGCCACCTAGAGAGTGATATACATTTCGGAAGATACCGAAGTTGTCGTAATACAAATCCAAGAAGAATTTTAGCACCGGCATAGTTGAATGAGGCGGTGGATTTGTTGTTATATATTCCGCTGGATGTTGATTTCGAAATTTAATAGGACAGCACTTCCAAGACCCATTAAAATAATATAAAATTTCATTAACAGATAAGTCAAAAAATGGTGGAGGTGGCTGATCCTTAAGCCAGACTACAATTTTCTGTAATAAAGAAGAAAGTTCTATAATATGGTTATTCATTTCTTCTGCTAAGAACCATTCTTTTTGAGCTTGAAATGCACGTTCTAAAGAATATAAATGTTGAGGAATTTTACTATAAGGAATTAATCTTTGTATTCGAACTTTCATTGTGTTGTCTTTAACAACGAATGACTGAATTCGACCATGTTTTAAACTTTCATAAGAATGATATTGAACGAAATCGCCACATTTAAAAGATCCTAAATAAGATAAAAATTTTCATTAATATCAACTTATTTAATTTTATAATATTTTAATCAATTATTATTTACCTCGTGAAGTTGTTATATGAGATTGGCCAAAAAGAGGTGATTCGGCCCAAAGATTTCCTTCCCACAATTCTTCGCATGACTCGGAAAGAATTCCTGGTCCGAAATATAAGTGAGAACTAATACTAGGATTTTTTAATATGCGATGTAGGTACTCAATCAAAGAAAAGTAATAAACTTTTGTAAAAGGTTTGGTCGTAGATGGTGTGCTTCGAGGGTTAATTAGAACTTTGTGACTTCGGATTTGCATTAAAGGAAGTTTTTCACGATATTTTTTAAGTGTTTGTAAATTAGTAATTAAATGATTTTTATCAAATTGTGGATGAAGTAAAATTTGAATCAGATCGTGATAAGCGGTTTTTGCTTAAGAAAAAAGAGAAGGTAATTAAAATTAAGGCTTCATTTAATCTATTAAATTTTATGCAAATACTTACATATCATATATTTTACAGCCCACATAAACATTGCCATCGTCGTGAAGTTTTCAAATATGCCAAATTGGTCTTCTGGGTTCCATGTTATATTAAAATTTGTCTCATCAAATATTTCTGGAGCATCAACAAAAGTTGTTTCATCCTCGGAGGTATTATTATCTGAATTAGTATCGCAAGATTCATCATTGTATTCTATATCGTCCCAGTTCAAATCGGTTGAATTATTATTACTCGGCTCACTATGACAGGATTCTGTATCGGTATCGGTATTACTAAAATTATCTCTATCTTCAAATTCTTGGTATTCATGTTGCCAATTTTGGATTTCATTTAAATTTTCTTGCTGCGGCTCACCATTTTCACATATTGAAATATTTTCACGACTAAAAGTTGGGTGCTTTGTAGTTTTGGGTGCTCTTAAGCGAAACTGTGAAGTTTCGAATCGTAAAAGCCGGTGTCTAGACATACTTTGAATAAGTCAGAAAAAAAAAATTTTATACAATTTATGTAACACGTGATTCACGTGATACAATGACATTCTGATTGCAAAGTTTAATATATTAATTACGTACATATACAATAGATATTAGCATGTAATTGTGTATGTATTTATCTATATAAAATAAAAATAAGAAGTCTTTTTTATATATAAAAAAAAAAGATTTCTTACTAAATATGGCAAGAACTAGAGGCGGAAAAACAGCAAATGCTAGAAAATCGAAAAAAAAGGAAATCATTGGTATATATTTTTAAAGACAAGTATATACTAATGTTAATGTTGTATTAATATTAACAAATATTATTACTTTTAGGATCTGACGAAGAGACTTCTGGACAACAAATGATATCTAATAAACGTTTAAGACAAACGATTTATGAAAATGGCAATTTTTTTATAAAATTTACCAATACGTGCATTAATAAGAATTGTATTAAATACTTTTGATTCGTCATTTATTTATCTATTTATTTATTTTTTTTTTTAGAGAAATCTAATGAACTTGTTCGTGTTCCATTTGAGCCGATGAATTTAAATAATACTATACCGACACCAGCTAACAATATAGCTCGGCCAATTCAACGAAGTCAAGACTTTTATAATCATAATGATTATTCAAGTTATACAAGTCATTCAAGATCATCATATAACATCGATCCAGAATTAGTCCATAATTCGGATTATATGCCATCAAGCACTCCAATTCAATCAAATTTCACGAATTCAAACTTGACATACAATACTCATTCAAATAAAAATATCAATAGATTACAAATCTCATTTAATGGCACAAATAATTCTGAAGCAAGTTCCATGATATCCGAAAATTCTATTATGTTAGAACAACAACATAAAAGCTTATCACGAGCAACTACAATGTCATTAGATGATATATCGGATTTATATTCATCAACATATCAAGATAAAGACCCATCACAGCAACATAATTCTTACAATCATCAGAAAGAAAATGATTTAAAATCAAATTTACGACACCAACATGTACTACATTCTCCAGTAAATTCTCATCATAATACGGCTACTCGACAACCTGATAATAATTCACAAGAATTAACTTTTTCTGACGAGCAATCGTTAGTTAATTGGTTATGCACACGACCTGATTTGATCACACAAGTACAAAGTTTAACAGCGTCTTTACCAAACAAGGTTTGTTTAATTTATAATACACGTATGTATTAGTTTTTATTCTAAACTATATGCTTACTATATATTTATTAGGCTGAAGTTAATCTCTTGGAGCCGACGGATAAAGAAATTATAATAAATCTTGTCATGGAACAATGCAAACTTCTGTTTTTACGCACACGAAATCCTTCTAAAAAAATACGTGAAAAACTGATTAAGAAAATTGTTCCATCAATGGACCCAGTGACTAAAGAATTTAAACTGCTATATCGGAAAACACGTGAATACTTTGATAATTTTAGATGTACATTTAATAAGGATATGACAGCTCTTGCCAAGGATTTACTTGTTAAAAACTGGTGCGTACAGAACATAAGATAAATAATATCAGCCCACCATTTAATATTACATAATGTGTTATCTATGGATTTAATATCGATATGTACTGTAGTGATCCAACAGATGAAAATATCAAACAATTCGTTGCTGGTAAAGTCTGGCGACAAAAACTTAGCAAATACCTTGAAGCCAGTGACTTCTCAGAGTTTAAAAAATCTCAATCTTCGCTCAAGTCACTTGAAAACTTTATTGCTGAAAGTTTGAAAATCCACGTCGATTATCAGATTGCAGTTCGTAACAAAGAAAAACCATCCTATAGTGAAAATGTCTTGACAAAAATTAAGAAGCTCGATCAACTTACTCTTCATATAACTATTCCATCGGCAAGCCAACGAAATTGTGCAAATGAATTAGATCTTAATCAAATTGATGCAGAGTCTTCAGATAACGAATAACACTCTATGACTTTATTTAGTTGATGCAGTAGTAATGAAAAATGCAACCTTTTCTTATTATAAATATTTGCTGACATAACAGCTTATTGTTCTAAAATAAGGTCTCTTATAGATGAATTACTCAATCTATTATGTATATAATAAGAATAAAGGTTCATCTATTTAATGATTGCTTTATTAATTTATGTACTATAATATAAATTCAGCAGTTCAAATTTTTATTATATGAAAATTTATCAAGAATCTTTAATATGATCTTGTACGTATAACTAACATTTATAGACTTTTTTGCGTACAGAACATATTTATACATAGTAAGTGCAACGTTATTACAGTAGATGTGCGTATTACGCCTTTGCAGCAGTTCGTAAATAATAAAGCAAAATTATAATCTCATTCATGTTAAGAATGTTGCCAACTATAGGATAGTTGAGCTAGAACCGTCTAATCGCATAAAAATTATTCTATTCAATCTGAATTATGCGGCTCATGGGCCCAAAATTATCTTAATACTGGCTGAACTAAGTAAAAGAATTTTTAGAAGGTTCCGATTCTTAACAGTAATAACAAAACTTAATTTTATAGTAAAAAATCGTCTAATCCGCTAGGTTATGTTATTTAAATTTTTATTTGTATAGTCTAACGAATTTTATTTCATTATAATAGTCTTAATTTTTTCAAAATATTTATGATCCTTATAATAGTATTTCTAAATTCTGTAATAGATTAAAACAAACCGTAGAAAATTTTGGCCAAACATGAAATTGTTAAAAGCCTAATATAATTGTTTATAGTCGTCTAGTAAAGAGCTAGCAGGAAACTGTATTTGCAATTTAATATAAAAAATTTTTTTGACATTCTAATATTATCCTATCATATCGCTAAACTTTGCTAAATATGTAATATTTTAATACTATCACAAAAATGTAAGATTTCCGCAAAGATATGTTTAACATATATTTATTATATTATAACATTGATAATATTGTAATTACATTGTAGCAATATTGCAGCAATCTTGTAAACATATTTAGCAAAAATCGAAGGTTTCAGCAAAGAGTTATATGCACGTACGAACTAGATTGCATTAAGTTTAGTAGCCTGTGTTATCTTTGCGTATGAGATCTGCAAGGAAAGGAAATATCTCATCGACCCTTTTTTATGTTATACAAGAGTAGAACGGGGCGCCACCGGCGCCACTGTTAAATAACATCAGTAAATTTTAAGATTTTCTCAGTAATTTAATATATTATCTTGTTACTAATTAAATAAATAAAATAAAATTAATACAATAATAACTATTGAATTACAAATAAGTGAATGGAAATAAAAATAAATCGAGATGAATAAGTTTAATGAGATACCGCAGTATGTAAGTTTGCATTGGAATTTTTACGGTTTCTACTATGAGTTACATAAAAATTCTGTAACATTTACCCGCTATTCTGATGACCACATATAGTTGAGGTTGAGTTAGCTTGCATTAGAATTGTCTTAATTTTTATGTGATTAAGCTTGTGTTAGTTTGCATTTAAGTTATTATTTCTTTCGTAAAGAATTCTGTTGTAAAGCCTCACTATTTTGGTGGCTACAGCATGCGATTAAGGTCGAGTTAGTTTGCGTTGGATTATCGTATTAGAATTATTGTGATTTCTACCATGAGTTACTGTAAAATTCTGGTATAAATACTCGCTATTTTTGGAGACTACAGCACTGGTTAAAGTTGAGGTAGGTTACATTGGAATTGTTTTGTACAGGTCACCCAGCATAGCGAACTTTCATTGTGATTGGTTAGATTTTGATGATCATCTCGTGATTTTATTGGCCGTTCGACCAATCAA